TTAAAATACTAAAAAATCACCCACGAAATCGTGAGGCGGACAACAGAGAGGCGGACACTATTTAACAGAAAGTAAACGACATAGAAAGGTAGAATGAATTTATTGATTCATATACACGGCATTTAAAATTTATAGACAATAAAACATTTATAGTAAATACAATATGCTGAATATTCCACCATATATTAAATATGTTTAGCACAATTCTGTAATTTTTGCGGGGCACCCTTTGGATATTATTTAGTATCTACTGCGGATGTATCGTTGAAAAAGACAACGACATCAAAATGTTGAAAAAGACAACATCAAAATGTTGAAAAATTCACTACAAAACATACCATTAGGAACATTTAAAAAGCGGATGTATAAATTGGTAATTATTTGTTTTTTTTATCGTCCGTTCCAATCGTGATCGAGCATAACTGGAAATTTTTGCATTTCTTGCAATTTACAGCGTCTGAAATAGCGCTTAAATGGTATTTAGTATAGATGGATAATTATAAGATGGGGTAAAATAGGCGGAATTTAGCTGAAATAACAATGTCAATGGGCTAATTTCTTAGAATATATTCGCAAAAGCCCAGTATTGGGTTACGGCATCTCTGGATGACGCCACCTGAACATACTCGAACCGCGCATCTTGACTGCCTCACAACCATTCAAGCATTAGCTCAAGTCAGAACGATAACACGTTCTTAGATATTTTTGTGCCTTTTCTTGCGACATCAATTATTGTTGTTTAGGTACAAGTTTTATTTATATTTTGGGACTCTGCAATGTATTGAATAATTACCATTGTTTCTTGTGGAAAAAAAGTTCCGCTACTCGAACAAATCGGGGTGCTCCATAAGTATGCGCACAACCTGAATCCTAACCGGTACACACATACTATGTTCAGGTTGTCCGCCATCTTGGTGCGCATACTTCTGGAGGTCCCAAATCGGTCCTTGAATTATGTTCGACTACCCCTGTATATCAGAAATCTGTCTAAAACAATAAAAAATACACCGAACACGAGTGTTCACTGTCTATTAGCGCGCTTTTTTGAGAAAACTGCAAGGCGCTTTCGCAGTTATTTTTATAGACTGTAAAATCGCCATTTTTTATTTTGTTTTTGGAGCAAAAATGTTTAAAGTTGACCAATAATTTGCATGCGAATATATTATTGGCAAATAATAAACCATCTGCGAGTAATTCTGTAACCCAATTTTGCATTACATAACGATATTAGCGGAAATTATACGCTATGTTGTGCAGACATGGGAGACAAAGCTATTCGAGATTTTGCATTAATGGCAAAATTCCTGTATTTAGTATGATGTTTTATACAAGCACTCCGACCCACTTTCCCACGAAAACGCTCGGCGGCGTTGGCCTGAAGTTAGAATGCGACACCGTTCCTATGAACGAGAGTGGCTCCGTGACTAAAGTGCATGAAATGCTAGTGCAAAAATATCTGAATGAAAGCGAAAGTTTGTCAGGTACTGGTTCCCTTACCATTCAGAAAGTTCTGATACCACACAAGGCATAGTTCGGCGAGGTAATGTAAATATAGAGCATTATTTTACGAACTAGACGAATCTTCCAACAGCGTTTCACGGAATTTTATGATCATATTGTCTGCTTTAAATAATAACTTTCTTAATCCATGTTTATTTTATGTATTGTTTACTTGTTTCAGTTTGTCATTAATTACGATATGTTTGGTTTTCATTAATTTTAAACTTGGCTTATACCGTTATTTGGAATATGTTTTTTACACATCGGGATGGGGATAGCACAAGATTCAGTATCAAATAATAAGAAACAAAACTAACAATATTCATAGTTTCTTAATAAGTAATAATTTGCTAATTGTGGAAATATGGAAGAAAGTTGGCTAAAAATATATCACAGAATGATATTTATTTTTCGGCCGACGAAAACCCCAAATAATAACGATTGCCGAATCAGCGAAAGAAACGAAAGTAAATTGTCGATTATGATTCATCACTCTCTTCAAAAAATACATAAAACGAAACCACGATGCCGAAAAGCGGTTACGTGTTGTTTTTCTTTGGACGCTCAAAAGAAATGTAATATACATATACATATACAAGAGGTTTCTAGACTTTACAAACTCAGGACTTGATCCTTATCAATAATACGAGTGAGGAGGCAAGAAAGGAAATGATTTTATTAACATTGAAATACACAAATAAGAGTTTTACTTTTCATGGACATATAATGTGAGATTGCCTTTGTGCCCAAACGATTTTATCGCCAATGGATGGCTGATATTTGAGACCTTCTCTTTCAAAATTAATTTCCAGGATTATATCGTTCATTCAAAATTAGGTGGGAAGCGCTAGCATATTTTTCGTTTCTTTTTTTATATTCATGTACTTTTTACGAGAATTATTCATTGTATTTCGTGTACGTTCGCAGATGAAAAATCATTTGTGTCATCGTTCCAATAATGTAATATATGGAAAAGCAGTTATAACCTTTTTCAAAAATTTATCCTTTTCAGCTTACGCTTATTTTTTTAACTTCAATTTCTAATATGGATTTAAAAGTTTCAAGTCAAACTCTTATATTTGAAAGTTTATTTTAAAATTCGAAATCCTTATATCATGGTTTTGAGTCTCACTTCTGCAACACTACAATTGAGCTGATGTTTAATGATAGTGGTCATACCAAAAATCCTAAATGGATATGGAGCCGGAGCACAGCTCTGAAGAAAATATGAGACTCCTGAGCCAAAGCTATTGTGATGTCATACCAGATGAAATATTGTCATCTTGAAGGAGTACATACTGTACTTAATTAAGGCAGTTAATTTTACTCTTACCTCTCCTACATATTCAATGACGAAGGCACCTTTTGGAATGGGTTGCAAGGCTTTCACTCCCCATCCTTTGCCGTTTGGTGTTTGAAAAATAGCAAGTGTGTACTTACTACCCTTCTGTATTACTCTATTTGGACAGTCAGGACCACACCTACACCTAAGTAGAAAGAAGATGGGAAATTTAAATCACGAAACTCTAACCTGAATAAAGTAAGATTAGGTCGGGCAAAATTAATTTTTTCACTATGCAAAAAAAAAGTTATATTAAAATGCAACATCATTACATTGTTAATGCATCAACAAGAAAATTTTGAATCAAAGCTTTCAAAGTTTATTTTTGAAATATCCAACTGCAAGCACTAATAATACATCGTCCAAAAAATACAGCAACATTTTAAATATTGATCAACCAATTTTTTAGTGTTGCTATGCTTACATACAATATAGCTTGAGAAAGGTGTTGGCAAATATGTACAGTAAAATACCACTTAGCTGTTAATTAGACCATGAAATGGAAATAATTGTTCTCACTTTGAGATGTTCATGTTATAAACTCTTGAAATATGCCTAGGAAAAGGAAGGAGGGCTGAATTTGATCTATAAATTTTGTAGAATACACACTGAAACACCGGTTATGGATCAGAATGGTAAACACAATGTATATCGCATATTGAATAAAAAAAATCGAGATAACTTGGGTGAATTTAAGTACAAACATACATCAATCATTGTACTGGCTTTCATTCTGTGAAACTACCCAAATAAAAACCCAATATAAACATTGTACAACAGTAAACTTTGCGAAAGATTAATATCAGTATGTGTAAATTCAACACTTTCTATAAAATGATGACAAATACATAAATTACCTTGAATTGCATTCATAAATAGGTTTCCCAGGTTTAAGCTTTATGAGACCATCACAGTATAAGGGTTTCTGATGTGAATAGCCATTTGTATTGCAGGAACAATTTCCAGACAATTGATCACACATATTCACACATTCACATCCCATCAACGGATCGTCAGGTATTGACACACCGTTGCCAGCAACATTTTGTGCAATATAGGTGAAGTCTAGAGGAGGCAGCTAAGAAATGCACTGATTATTATGAATTGAATTTCAATAAAACAAAAATATGGTTATTTTAGATCAGTGGTTCTCAAATTCTTATCAACCATTGACCCCTTACAGCAGGGGTTCACAAACTTTTGGTGTTGCGGAGCCCTTGAAAAGGTCGACCATTATTCATGGAGCCCCAAAATAAATGTTAAAATTGGCACTTTCCAATTAATATTCCTGAGTAAGTTGAAAGTACTTTACTTAATTTACATGCTACACCTTTTTAATAGGGTTAATACAAGTCATAAATAAATCTAAATTTCAAAGATAAATTATATATACTAAAGCTGTAAATTTGACACTTGACAAACATATTAATAAATTAGGGGTCGAATCTTTTCCCTTTTGACATTTTTGGAAGACTTGAAAGGCCGCTAATAACGTGCGCAATTGCATTTTGTTACAATCGCCGATTGTTTTCGTCAGTATGGCGTGTTTTAAACCTTAAACATCTTTACGCCGATGTTTATTCTCCCTAAATCAAAAATTTCCATTGATATATATATGTATTGTTCCACAATGACAACGATAATTGCTTTTTTGTTCTCGTGGGGAATTATGAGTTCAATGTAAAAAAACATGTTACCATATTAATTTATAGTCATCGGCGACGAAATAATAAAAATAATAATTAATAAAGAGGTAAATCCGCAACTCAAATTTCTTGATTGGAAAGCGGCATGCTAAAATATTAAACTAAAACTTAACATGGAAGATAACACTATAAGACTTTTATAGACATTGTGAATCACAAAATTTGGTGTTATGTTAGGTTTACTTTGGTTATTCATCATAGTAACTGCGAAATCGAAACACAGTCAATTGTGCATGCGATGTACCTTTTAGCCGCATGCAATAAAATAAATTACAATCGTTCATATTTTGCCCAGACCTTGGGTATTTTATGTTATTTTAGAATAGTATTCTTTCATTTTAGTAATCCTAATAGTAATCTCGAATCAAACGTGAGTGACGATGAGCCCAAATAAACACTTTAAATGCTCGCATTGGTCATGGATTGATTAATTATTTTACGCAACAGAAATCTCGTTATCCGTTTTTTTTTTTTTTTTAATCGCGAAGAATGTTGCATAGAAATTCCCAATTCCAATTTTGAACCCCTCCCTCTTGATAATCCTGGCCGCGCTCCTACTTATAAATAATGTCATTTTTTAATTCCGCCTTTTTGCCATATTTCGAGGCTATATTGTTGTCAAATTTTATCCAAGCTGTTATTGCTCCTTTGAACAGTTACAAAATTAGCCAAGTCAGTATTTTGAAAAGTGATCGAATAGCTCGCGGGGCCCCTAGGTGTCTCTCTCGCGGAGCCCTGGGGCTCCGTGCGGAGCACTTTGAGAACCTATGCCTTACAGCACCCTATACTCCATCATCGTCCCCTAACAGGCTATGTAGTAAAATTAATTATAAATCAATTAAACAAGTAGACTAATCATAGCCCATGATTTTTTTTTCAATGAGATGGCTCAGTGATTTTCAACTTGTTTTTTAATATTTGAAGACATTTTTGTCAGGCGTAATCTTTAATCATCCCATCATCCCGTTTGCTTATGAAAGGGAGTTTATTTGTTTTGATAGCAATCGTGTCAGATCTGAAACCAATTTATGAATGTGAGAAAGTTTCTCACCCCTTATCACTGATCATAGATGCTCCCATTATCTTTTGACTATATTTGAGTAAGAAATCAATCAAACCTCCATATTGACTTCATTTTCCACAACCACATATGGAAGGCCCTGTGAAGATTCATTGACAACATCTTGCCAAGTCTTTAATTGGTTTCGAAGTTCTGATTTTTTCCTACCATATGTTGATAGATATTTAAATGATTTTGGAATTGCATTGAAGAGTCGTTGTGTACATGTGTTTTGGTGGATTCCATTCCTTCCCAGCAGTAACTGAAACAGTGATAGAAAGAATACAGAAATGAATCGCTTATAACATCAATCAATGAGAAAATGTTTGAGAAATTGGCATTATCGACAATTGACACTAGAAATTAAAATATATACAACGGTTTGAGTCTGACATATTCTTCAAATACCTTCTTAGTATAAATTGCTAGTAAGATTGTCGCCTATTGAAGGATGAAGTATTCAAAGACTGTTCATCAAAGTCGAGCAGAGTTACAAAAATATTAATTTGAGCTTCCAGTCATTAAGTGGGCAAGATCCACTATTACTAGTGAAAGATTACCATAGCTGTTTCCAAAATTCATTAAATGGAAGCATTTCTTCATTATAAAACATATGGCTTAGAATAGGTACTGCGGAACAAAATGCAATACAAACTTGTATCATATTTCTGAAGCTTTCATTCAAACACGAAACAAGATTAGAGACTGAATGACTACTCAGTTTTACAAGAATATAATTGTTGAATCAAAAAAACGAAGCTAAAATTGTTTGGTCGAATCAACATTGTTATTCAATGAAGTCAAGACTATCATCAGTAAAACAAATATGCCTGTTCTCTCACTTTATGCCATGAAAGGTTTTCCTTCGTAAAAAAACTATTCAGTTGTGAATCATAATCTTCATGAAATTCTTTGATTAGACAATGACAACTTAGATTGACAGATGATTCCCAAGTATTTGCTTCTTCTGGCCATCCAACCCACTTCACTAAATAATATCTCTGATTCTAAAAACAAAACATTGAATATAGAAAATATATACAATACTTGTTGATGTCCTCACCGTATGTCACTCTGATGACTCTTGCCAATTGTGTATTTGCGAGAATATTGTAAGCAAAAGATCTAATAGCAATACAAAGGTTTGAGAGAAGAGGGCAAATACTGAAATTTTGAAAAATCTTGTTTGAAAATATTATAAAAAAATATGTGCTCTTTAAGTTAATATTAAATCATAGTTTAAAGCAATATTCAATAGTATTTGATTAAAAACTAACAAATATCGCAAATAAAAGAATGTTTTCTGAAAATAAATTTTTTTCAGTTTCGTAATGTTTAAAAACATACTTTCACTATTCGAATGTCTGCAATATATTCCACTTCATACATATTGTTTGGTTTTCTCATTTTTAATGCGCTAGTTTGATGAGCAGTCAGTAATAATTTTCTGGATGGAGGTAGTCTTCGTTTTGCAACTTTGTAAACTCTTTTAGGATTTTTGTCTTTATTGTTTTCAACTTTTTTTACTGCTTTACCAGAATAAAACCAAGCACAATTTGCATAAGTAGAGGCCATTCTCTTTTTGTATTTGCTTGGTACTGCGTATTTTGATGAAACAGTTAGTCCTTTTTTAGCCGCTTCTAATATCAATGATTCTTGAACAAAAAGAACAGGTACAACAGGGAACAAGTCCATTTCACTGTTTGGCTTGATTTTCTTTAGAGGCATCTTGTCAGTCTTCACAACTTCCGATGCCTCAGAAGCAATTGAATGCTCTTCTTCTTCTTTGTTGGAATTTGTCATCATGAAAAAGACAACGGCATCAAAATGTTGAAAAATTCACTACAAAAAATAACATTAGGAACATTTAAAAATGTGGCAAAATATAAAGAAGTGGAACAGATAATGAGATGATGTCCCTATATTTAATATATATATAAAAAACCATTCTATTTGAAAGGGAAACGAGGGTGTTTGATATGCTGACAAAAAACTTTTAGCAAAAAAATGTAAAATGCAAAGGAAAGAACTTGGAGGGGCATGGGGGCAGCACAGTCAGACTGTCTCCTACTGCAGTCCTGAAAGCAGCACAGCACAGCTCTTTGATTCCAGTCCCCAAATAAAAAGATATCAGTTATAACAGTTAGTGCAAACCCTCCTTTACGAGACAGTCTGGGCCTCTACATTGATCGGCACTGCAAAATAAACTAAAAGAAAGAGCTATTTTAAAACGTCACAGTTGAGTTCCGTGGAAAAAAGAATCTGTTACACGAAAAAAAAAATATTTTAACGCATTCAAGAGCTTTCAGCAAAAAAATGCAATTCAAACAAATAAAGTGTTGGTTTTATTGAACCAAATGTTGGGACATTTTGGAATCAGAAAACTGTGCTCTACTGTAAAAGGGTTTGTATTTATCTTTATAATACAGTAATAGTTAATATTCAAATATCGAGAATTTCCTGGTATTTTTTAACTGTGCCGTACTGGGGTCGGTGTTTTACCTAGTTCAGTAGTTCCTATCTGCCTATACCATACTCGAAATTTGGTTGATATGCGAACAAAGAAAGAAGTGTTTAATGAAGTTCTATCTTGGACTATTTTCTTTATCTGATATTTTTCACTGTAAAATTCGAAGTCAAAATTTTATTGTGTCTTGTAACACCATTACGAGGTTCAGGTTGTAATTAATCTGTAATCCCACTCTCCCTTACATAACCCGAATTCTCCCGTTCTCGCATTCCTCAGTTCCTGCATTGTCTAAATACTGAAATATGAGGTCATTTTTTGTGGTCTCGGTATATGGCGGACAGATATTCCAATCCTTAATATCTGCGCGTTCACAAATTTTTTTTTTTCGTTTGTTGGAACAAGAGTTATGACATACTGCAATAAGTTAACCCAAAGGCAGAGTTACCGTACCTAAATTTCACCATTCGAAGTTACAACAATAGTGACCAATGCTTTATAAAATCCAGATAACTGGATAACAAAAAAATACAGAAATATATATGGGTTGTCGCATGTCTGGTAGCCTATACAGGGTCATAATATGAAAAGGTTTTAAATAAACACCAACATCCCGTATTCGAAGCCGAAAAAACAAACGCAGACACCCCGACAACAACCCGCCAATTCGCGTTTTCGCGCCTTCGTAAGGGCTTGTCGCTTGACAAATATCCTGCACGCGACCTCTTGCGGCGTACAAAATTAACAGTGGGAGCAAATTCAGGATTTAGTCGTTGGGGTAGGAGGATTTGGGATCGGATATGGTATACATATTTATCCCGGGAGAAAGAAAAGTCGATAAAACAACCTATTCCTATGGCGAAACATGGCCGCTCGTCAGGGTTTTGGTCCATGATGGGTATGAGATTAGTTAGCCTTAGCCTACAGTCGACTCTGCAAACCGTAAATGATGTCATTTTTGGAGATTTTCCATCGACTTTGGTGTTTATAAAAATGATCCGACTTGCATCGTTGATTACAATAAATATGTTTAAATGAATACTTCGGTCTTGGCAAGTTTAAAAACGAGTAGGTGCAAATTTTCAGATGTAGATCGGAAGTTGGCCATGTTTGAACTTTGAAGAGTAAAGTTTGTACGATAGTCAGTCAGTAGTTTATTTTTCACCAAAATGAAGATACACTACATGCAAACAAAAACTAACTCATTACTTATGAAAATAAAAAATATGACCGAATCTTCTGTTTTACTTCGCTTTAGTAATTATGTAATTACCTCAAATGGTATTATTGTTGACAAACAGGTGATATTTAGCAGTAACATTTTAGGAAAAAATTGCACCTTCTTTATTTCGCCAAGAAATCGTACAATCGATGACGCATAAGTATAATTCAAACAGCATTAAGGAGTCGTCGTAAACTTTTTTCGCTGGAATTCAAACGCGCTGGAAAGAATAGACTTGTGTTACATGAAACACGTAAGTTGACAGAGAAATTTCCTGCTGTTTTTGTTGTCATATAATACCACATCACCTTGAAGAACAGACCAATTTGCGTTCAGTGCAGAAAGTCGGACATTTGTTTTAAATCCTCACAGTGTGAATTCCAAGGTTAACGAATGTATTGGAAGCCTAAGACATAAACATCATCAATAGCTTATGCAGTCTAATCGGTGTTAGTCATTATGAAATCTCGTGCGATTAATTTATTGCAATGTCAATGATTTATGACTAATGAGACAAGATCTTTACGGCGATACACGATATGCAGGGTGATACCCCCAAAAAAACCTTCGGCTGCTAGTCTATGACGTTATCTTTCTAAAAAGACGCGGAAATGGATAACCAAAGTTTGGTCAAAATGGGGAGATGATGGAAATGCATAGAACTTTTGAAGTTTTGTACAATGCGTGAAAGCGAAGTGTAGCCTAAGTTAAAAAAAACAAATCTTGGGAATGTGATAAATGATTCTATGCACTCTCAAACTTCCGAATAAATATTAATTAATGGGAGCTGGGAAAAATTTGATGAATGATAAAAAATATAAAACAACTCAAATCTATCCGCGTCTATGCAATAGTTTCACACGAGCCTAGTTCAACTTGCTTAAACGCGTATATATGGATCGACATTCAGCTAATCTCATGCGTCGCTGATCAGCATCTAAAAATAATTACAAGGTACTCCAGGCAAGAGTAGAAGAGTACAGCAAACACATCAAAGGTGCATGTCTCTGCAACATGCTGTTTTTCTCTTATCGAATTTGTATTGTCTGTAATGAGGCGGGAATATCATCTATCAAAGAATCAATTCGCCCTATGCACATTTGATTCTCGTTTTGAAAAATATCCGTTATGTTATCTGAAAAAGGCCAGTACGACAATCGTTATCAATTTCGGCATCTTATCGCACCGATTCAATTGATCTCTCAACCCAGCAATATAAAGTCGTGGATATCGCGAGCGTTTCTATCGCAATGGACATTTTCCATCAACCAAAAAATTTGCAAAAGCGTATTTATGCACACTGTGTGGACAAGTATCAGAGTAGAAATTGGTTCATTTTGTTACGTAGCTGCAAAATCGAGCTCTTTTCAATACTGGGATAATTTATAGCCCATTTCGGGTGTAAAGCGGAGTGGTGTTATTGTCTATTATAAAATGATGGAACAACTTACAGCGCTCATCCTGTCCCCGTAGATGGGGGTGACTTGGTCCCGCAGTAGCTTGCCCCGGTTGTCAAAATGACCACGCGCCGCCACTGGTTACATTACATCGAAATATGTCTGTGCGCAGTAAATCTGTGCGTGTGCGCGGCCTCTGAAAGCTGTGTGCGCGCGCACACGCGCACACTTTAGAGGGAACACTGTCTGCAGCTTAAAATTATGATGTTGTCCCCGCAACAAACGTCCATGAAGACGTAATCATTTTTAGTACATATGCTATTGACAGATATATTTTTATTCAAATCATGTACGCGTACGGCTACGTATTGCTATTGTTTTTCCTGAACCTAGGTAAAATTTTCACCGAGTTGAACTGCACCGACATCGTGTATAAATAAATGACAGTGCATTTATACTGGAAAACCATCGAGTTCGAGGGGCATAAGACATTAAATATTGAGAAGTTCCGACAAAAATAGATGCAAAAACGAAATCACAACAGAGTTTCTGTTGTTCTGTTTCGAGACTTTACGGAGAGAAAAACTTCGTTGACTTTCCACTACACCATTAGCTTGATAAACTACCATATCGCAGCAATATGTTCGTTTAATTTGTGTTGGTATTTATGATTTTGATCAGCAAGTGCCTAAAGCTGCTGCATTTTAAACTTCATGAAAGAGTTTACTTGACTAATATTTTATGTGTGTGATGAACGAGCCCCCAACAAACATGTCTGTAGTTTTTAATGCCCCTGGCGTATTTTGAGTATACATGTAATTGATACCTGCATTACTTGCTCACATTTATTTATTGGTCATGAAAATTCAGGCATAAGCTAAGAACAATGATTACACCAACATGAATATATACTGTGCATCTTTCATAGATTAATTGAAGCCAATTAGCTAATAAATTGCGGAGCTATAGATCAGTACAATCTTTTGAAAATATCTAACTACTGTTAGATTACTCAGTGAGTTGATTGATGCTAGCATTTGAGCAGTTATCTGTTGGTCATGGTAACCGCTGCTATCTGTGCTATTTTGCATGATTCAAGTGTTTGGACTCAAGTCTGAATGAGTAACATACAATTAACATAGAGCAAGCAACAAAATGGAGCAGCACTTCTGTACAAAAGCTAGATTAAAAAATCAATACAAGGCAAATTACATGATTTCAAAACTTAGCCAATGGTGCTAATAATGATATTCAATAGGAACAGAAACTTTTGGACATGGCCAGAAATTGAATGAAGCATTATCATTTATATAAAAAAGTATGTACAAGATGATAGGACGGTAGTAAAAATTGGTCAAGGAATACAAAACATTTTATAATAAAGTAGTAATACTAAGGCACCTATTATTTTTTGCAATATTATTAATGACAAACGAGGCAAAATGTGCATTGGCAAACTCACAAAGAACCAGACTAATTTAAAATGATCTTGTATAGATCCACAGAAAATATCAAAATTTTTTGATAAACGATGGCATTGAAAAAAAAAAATTGTTTCCCTACATGGCATTGGACCGATTGTTAAAATGTAATAACAATAATTGGTGGCATAAAAAAGAAAAATAAATTTACAGATACTTCTGAAATGATTTTGGCAAAAAAGTATGAAACGCTTCAGAAACAAAATGAGAGATTATTTCAAGTTAGTCTGGACTTGATATAAAAGTCATATATATGAATGTAGGTAAGGAAATAGCAATACATGAACAGCAAATAGAAAAACACAATTCGTACCTTGGCCTGTAACCTCTTATGATCATAAACAAACAAAATAATAAAAAAGTTTGTGCATGGTAGAAATATTGTCAGATTCTACAAAACAAGACAACGGTCATTGGCACGATAAGGTCTGTGTGTTGTGTGTTAATGGAGCCACAATTATTATCAGTTGATAGTTAATAAATATACTGCAAATAGGCAGGATGGACGGACAATGATTGGCTTCTTAGAAAAGAAAAATAGGATACTGCTTTGATGCTTCATACCAAAATGTGCATAAAGAAAATAAAAATAATACAACCATGCAAAATTATGAGGAACATTTACAAGTATACAAAATGTATAGAACATTAACATTTAATGGTTTATATCCATAATAAAAATGGCAATATCCAGGATTCAACTTATTGAAAAAAATGGAATTTTGTTTTAGTGAAATCTACTGAGAAGCTATTATTTTAAATTATGTGTAAAATTTGTAGCAAATTGAAATTACAGAAAAGTTAATATTTCAATCTATATTATAAAATATTGTGCATCATGAAATTCAAATGTTGCGTGCTAAATCAAATATATTTTCACTGAAGGAGCAAATATCAAGTCATATGTAAATTACATTTGTACCAATGCAAACCCCTTTGAGTATATTGACAAATTCAGTGACACTTTCACTATACATGACATGAATACTACCAATTGGATAACATAAACAAACTATTGAAAGCACCTGTTTTTCTACCATGCTTGACGCATCACAGTTGTTGTTGTTGGTGTCATTTTGATCATGCTACTGCGTCTTCCACTTGATCTTTTTGAGGATGTTGTAGATTTGGACTGGTTCGTCTTATTTTTTGTACTGGATCGTAGATTATAAGGTCTAGAGACTCTAGACAACGATGTGTCATGAACGTCATGGCTTGCTTCGAGAGTGTTAGCATTAGAAGCTGCTATTGTTGAGTTACTATCAATAATTGAGAACGGCATGTGGGACATGACAGGAGCAGCAAATGAAAAATTCATTGACTCATCTGTAGGTAGATAAAAACAAATAAATTTATTCACAAACGAAAAATGCAACAAACCATAAAACAGCTACTGAAAGTCACAATCAGCAAGATGTATTACAATATTCTAAATAAACCAGAAAATAATTCAACTAAGTCCGACAATATTAAAACTGGAAATTTTAACGTGTATATCGGCAACAAAAATAATTATTTATTATCAGCTACAAAGCTTAATGGAATACGGTAAGTTTAAAAACAATACTTTACCTTGATAAATATCACCTCCAACTAAACCTGGTATGGTTTGTTCATGCATTTGAGGTTGATGAAACTCAACATTGTGGGTGGATGTTCTTGTAGGTTCGGCACCTGTAATGTAATTAATATATTAAAACTAAATTGCAAAATACAAAGTCAATTTGACATCAACCGAGATCGTCATATTGTCATTGTCAGTGAGCCAACATCTGACATGTTGGGTAATTCAATCTGGCCCGCCTCATGCTGCTACAACTAAACTAAAACCAAATTTTGATGTTCTAGCTGAAAAATAGCTCAAGGAATTGCTGAGATTGGAATTGAATTTAGTTTTGGCACAAGGCTTATTGTTTTCTAATTTTACTTTTGTAATACTGCAAATATTGTTCCTAAAATGTAACTCTATGTCACACTTACATGGCAATGGCACGCCAGTCTAGGCGGGCAACATTTTTGGCCCCTGGTCCAAAAACCTTGCCCACCCCTGGCCTACATGTTGCATGTCAGTAGTAGGTACTCAACATTTGCTGGACGGTAGGTTGATCACGAGGCCGTATGTACATGAATTTAAGCTTGAGGCTCAAAAGAACCCCTGGAATAAAGTGAACAAGTATAAAAGTACAATAAATAAAAAAAAATAGATGAAACAGATAAAAAGAAGACTTACTCATTGGTGGGGGTGGTACCATTGCTCCTCTTCTAGTTTTAATTGGAGGAAGTTTTCTCAAAGGTGTAGCAGGTTTGTTATCCTGAAAAAAAATTGCCACAAGTTAGTGCCAAATGCTTGCTATATCACTCTCCTTAATTATACCCATTGGAGAGATATAACTCGGCATCACACTCATTACTTTTGTAAGTCTATCCTCAACATCAGCAGAACTTAATTACTTATAAAAAAAACAATTATATCACCTTTGAGGCTCTGGCAGACCATAATATTTGGGCATGGTTGACATCAAGTGGAGCAGTAGGTACTGGAGTAGAGGGATTAGATGACACAGGTGCAGGCATAATAGCACCACGACGACGAACCATTTTAGGAACGTTCCGCACCCAATTTGAAGACAATTCCTAAAATAATAATAAAAATGTAAAAATGATTTTAAAAAAAGTAAGAAATTTCATAATTAACCGAATAAATAAATGACATTAGAGTAATTAATTATTCTACGAAGAATGAAACATACAGTATATTTATCAAAGTGACTTCAATTCTAGCCAATAAAATACTATGATTGTAAAACTATCAGAGTCACACTATGTATGATGCCATGCACTATATTCCCACTATTTTCCATGACTAATATATATAACTCAGAAAATAATAAGAATAGGTGATAGTAAAGAAAATAATCCCCAAAAGTTATGTGATAGTGATACACCATAATACGCACATAAAAATAAAATCATTGTCTCAAAATGACAAGACCTCTTTTAACTACTGAGAAGAAATGAAATTCCCAATATTTTTATTCCTTAAATTAAGTTTGAATTGACAGCAATGTATGTGAAAACAGTTGAGTCTGTGTGTAACTAATGTGAATTAATTAGTTCATCAAAATAATGAATCTGATATTCTGAATTTCACATAAATATATATGTATATATATATATGATCACAAATTTAGCATTATAGGCAATACAAATTCCAGCTTGTATACAGTCACTCTTATAATATACAGACAATGTCACATGTCGTTGTCATCAGTCATGTATTAGGAAAAGCGAATGATTATATAAAAAGAAGAGCCAAAAATTACATCATCGCATGCTGTATGATTAACACACTGAAAAGCGTGCAGAGCAGGATGACCTCATTATTTCCTGTATAGTGATGGACAGAGTTGATTAATCATATCATCAAATAGGCTTTACTTCCTGTGCGGTTAATTACTTACAATGTTTCCTAGCTTCAGTAGTGTAGTATTGCAATATAACTTATTTCACAGCAGGAAAGGAAGAAATATCATGAAAGCAGTCTCAGAAGTGAGAGTGTTAATTGCTTGAATATACAATTTTGGGTACTGCCATAGTGTCTGTACAAGGTTAGGGTTATGTCATAATTTTATTTTGATTTTTCTTATTTTACGAGTTCTGGGTCTGTCTGTGTTAGCCAAGTGATTGTACTTCCTGCCCATAGGCTTCCGTTCCTTTATACAACTTGAGGTAAAGTATGAGAACAAAATTAGTTACCTCCATATTTGTTCACACACTTCTGGAGCGCCCAATTTTGTGGTATGAATCTAGAAGGGGCATAATTTACTTCTCTAACTCTAAGCAAGTACAATGTAGATGTATGAAGAAATATTTATGTTTCTATTCTATATTTATCAAGGTGTAATTTATCAATAAAATAACTACAATTTTGTTAAAAGAAAAAATCATTTGAACATAAGTCGTCAATTAAATAAGTCAATCGAAATTTCCAGATATTTTACCAACTATATAACTCTATGCACTATTCACCAACCGGCCACCGCATCTCTGACAAATAGTTAGAAGTGACATTAACATTTCAGAAATGAACAGGAAGTCATAGCAAATCACTCAGACATACCAGTATTAGAGGTAGACGAATGATTTGTGTATTTTATGCTATTAATTAAAAAGAGAATAAGTTCGATAAACCTAAAATTATTGAATCTAAATGACACACACAGGAGTGTTAAAATAATATATATATATATATATTATATGAACGAGCATCATAAAGTTCGCAACAATAAAAAACATAGAACATACACAAAGTTATTCAATATAGACTGGGGGGGGAGCGATATGACCATATCGTAATCAGAGTCATCTCCCTCTATATCTGCTATTTTCTATTATGTATAAGATTGACGGTTATTGCAGGTAAATGATGTAAAAAAGGGCTAACTATAGAAGAGTTGTAAACAGGTATAGTTATAAACAAACAGACAAGCATTATGATGACAGTGTTTAATTCAACTATATCCACTATAATTCCATATTACAGTATTATAATTCCAAAAAGTGGCTTTCAAAATTGAGCACAGCATTTATATATTATTTCAATAATAATTCATTTAGCCTTTATAATAATAAACCTCCGTTACTTATAGAATAACTATATGGATTGTAGAGACATACGTAACTATCACACTTACATTAATATGAAGAAATATGCATACATATGGTGTTTGATTAAGACTTGTGTGGTATTAAATATCATGAATCACAGCTTACTAGTTGGAGATGCACTGGTAAGTATATATAATGTTGAATACTTTAATTAAAATATGAAGTCCAATTCACAAGATAAAAAAAACATGGCTTATTCGCAACACAATGTAATAAGCTCGACCGATATCACTTTTTGACGCCGATATCGCAATGCCGATATTAATATAAATCATATTTTGAGCCACGCTTTTATGATGCATCTTGTGAGTCTGTAGTTTCATTTTGATATTTGTTATCATGGCAGTACGACTTTTATTTAACTAACTTCGTTGATGCTCGAACAAATGTTATTCTGTAACTTTTCCTGATACTTCAATATTAGTCTAGCTATTTCCAGGAAAAAGAATTGTTAATCAGACGTTTTTAAATATAACTATGGACATATGTTAAGGGTATTGAAAAATTATAAATTGATATATTTCAAAGTGAATCGTGATAATGATCCTTCGATATTGTGATAGCATACATGTGCAGTTACATGTGAAATTTTTAATGACTTTGTTTCCAGAGACTCTCAATACCGTATTTAGTCAATAATAATGGATTAGGTTTTTATTTAGTAATTTTCAGCAGAATGATAAACAATCATCAATATAAACAAAACTGTTACCCCAGAAATTTAAAATTGAATTTGGGTAGGTCACTAAATTTGCCTTTTTCTCAATGTGTACTCTCTCAAAAACGTCACTTTGTAAAACATCATTACTCCAGATAATAACTTTTAGTTATGACCATGCATGAAATGACTAATCATAAGACACCGGGAATTAGGAGAGACGCCTTTATAACGCAGAATGAAAGCGAGAGAAATATTGGGAAGGTACGCAGTTACCAGTTATGCAGGGGCGAGAGCCGTTGCAGCACGCAGCCCGGCGCTTGCCGAGTATGGCCGATATATATCGGCGGTTTACGGCCGATATGATATATCGGCAAACACGTAATATCGCCACGTAATATATACGATATATCGGTCGAGCTCTAGTTACAGGATAACAAAGTTCAGCATCAAATTGTTTCACTCAAATAAGTTTCGGATTCGGATACCCTAGATCAGGGGTCCGCAAATACAGGGTCGGGACTCAAAAAACCTCCACTCTGGGTCGCAAAACAATTTCAATTTGTCATAAATATGAGCATTGCGTCTGTGTAGCGTATTTATGTACTACAACTTTATAAACTTTTAATTTATATTATGGATGTTTCCCTGAGCATTGACTTCCTTATTTACTGCCGTAACATTGGCCAATCAGCAAATATAAGTCTAAATCAACTATCATTTTGTCTTCGTGCAAGTTTTGCAGTAATCAAAAATTAGTCTAGAAATAGCTGTGATAGACTAGGCTTTATTTTTTATACCGGTACATTTGAATGAAAGATTTGTGAATGTTTCGAAATAAATTGCGATTTTGGAACATATAAACCGGTATATAGGGGCCGACCCATAAAACCACTCTTGAAATAGGTAATTTTTGCACAGGTAGAGTATATAGAAAGAATTTTTGATTCTCCCGTAGGTATGTGTACCAGGTCAGGGCTAGGCCATAGTTTTATTCCGATTTTTCTTATTTTAGTTCTATTCCGAGTTCGGAGACTGTTTGGTAGTGTCAATAATAGTCCTAAAATCAATAACGAATTGCATGCTTTCCAAATACTTGGGTTGCAAAGAATTAGAAAGAAAAAATTTGGGGTCGCTCCAAAATGTAGTCGAGGACTGTGTTCTTGCATTTCCATACTTTTTCTTCAATACAAATCGCACACGATTTTCAATGGAAGTAACTCAACAAATAAAAATTGATAAAATATTTACATGAAACCTATGATATAAACTCTATAAATTCAATGTATAAATTATATATGCTATCATTACTTCATTTCAGCCAGCCAAATTTCAGCCAGCTACCCTGACTGATGATATGGGGCCATGGGAAATATGTGGAGAAAAAGAAACTTGTCTGCAAAGAAGAAAACACAACTGCAAGATAACCAATGGTACATTGCCACATATTGCATGTGGTACAAAAGTTTGGATGGAGGAATTAGAAGGATGTGACCTATGTGCTGGAGAATCTTGGGTAATGAATTTTTTAAATCAGAGGTGTGCAACCTGCAGCCCACAAGAAAAACCTGTGCGGCCCGCTGAGTGAAGCCAATTTTGAAGCCGTTACAATGCATTAATAGCTAGCTTATGCGAAGCAAACAAGGCATGTCAGAAGATACATAACGAAAAAGTTTATGCCTCCAACTACTAGAATGTCCATGTCAAATAAAGGTACGGCCAGTTTCACTTAGTTATTTGTATCTGACGGTCTGACCTTCCTGTATTAAAGGTTGCACATCCCTGCATCAAATGATTAATATTAAATACCCTAAACCAGGGTTTCTCACAAACTGGGCCACGGTACGAACCAGTTCTTTGTGGGCCACAATCAAAATTGCTGGCCGCAACTGATAAATATATTATGAATACAGTTATTTTATGCACCATGTTTGATAAAAAATAAATAAAAAAATCACAGTGAATTTACTTCAAATTAAGGTGTTCAGCGCACGAATTGTACTTAGTGAATAATTTACGGCGGTCTTTTTCGATAAGAGCAGGGGGCACCAGTGTTAGGAGTCCTTGGAACGGGCAACAAAGCATTGAAGTTTGAGAACCACCGTACTCATTTAAAGCCTCATTTAATAAAAAAGACCGATACAATTGTAATTGCCCACCGGACAAAAGTTGGAACTAAAAAAAATTCAATAGCTAACATTTCTATTGTTACTTATTAAATTTAAAGTAGAAAAACTTTATTTTCTATCTTACAGATTGGTCAAAGTGAATGGTCAAAATGTCTGGGAACGGGATGCGAGGACACAGTACAGCGTTCTGTGAGAACTTGTGCCTTCAAAGCAGTAAACAGAAACTGTCGATCAATACTGACGAGATACTGCAATCCAACGGATATTTGTTATGGAACATGGTCAAGTTGGACATCGACTAGTCCTGAATGCAAAGATCAATGTAGTGTTGATCGAAGCAGAGTAAGACGATATATTATCATAGTACATATTTTAACGGTCCATGAAATAACTACCGTATTTGTTCATATTCACGCAGGTATCATACAAATGGTACCGTAACCAGAAAAACTGAAACTTGGGAATATAACAGCAAATAGTGATATAAATATTTCAGTGCAACCTTACGTTTATCAAATAAATATCCATATATTGAGGATCACATTAATAAGTAGCCTATAGAAGAAAATGAATATAATCGGTATTCCTGTACTATGTGTACCAGATTAGGGTTAGGCCATAATTTTATTCTGATTTTCCTTATTTTAGTTCTATTACGAGTTCGGGGACTGTCTGTGTTAGCCAAGTGAATATACCCCCCCTGCCCATTGGTTTCAGTCCAATTACAAAAATTTAATGTAAAAGAGGCGAACAAAATTAGCTACCTCCATATTGATAATCAATATATAGCCCAGTGATCATAAGATTTTTGCAACTTTGACGCAGCACGATAGCCTAGTAGTGCGTAAAGCGTTGACTTAACGTGTTGGAATCATCAAGATTTGACATATTTTACTTTTTGGACACGTTTATTGGACATAACGATCGTTTCAATATTATGTTGTTATTGTTATTATTTGTCTCCATCATTTTTAAAAAATCGCTTTTCTCTTCGAATACTGGACCAATTGCTTTGAAATTTTCGGTGGTTAAAGATAAAATTTTTCTCCAGAAGGCTATTACTTTTTTTTTTCTCGCTATGACGTCATCAAAATTATTGCCATTGGGTGGCGCTACGTGTCCATATATTTGAGCATAGCTCTCTTGTTTGATAAAAACCTTTCATACTTTGTACGGTAATTTATTTAAGGTACTCCAGAGAACATGCATGAAAGATGGAGAGAAAAGTATAAGTTGTGCTTCGAAAAATGCTGGGAGTACTACTATAAAACAAGAAACACTTATCGATGATTGTTCTGCTAGCCCACCATGTCAAACAACAGGTACTACTTTGTTATAAATCGTTTCCAGAATTGGAGTAAATTTAAATATAAATAATATATTCAAACTATTCTATCACAGAACCAAGCACCACTACCCCAGCCACTACACACATAACTACGATAGCCACTACTACACACATAACTACAAAAGCCACTATGCTTACTACTTTGACTACTAGTACGAGTATTGTGAGTACAACAACCACAAGACCAAAAACTATCTTATCTTCATGGAGTAGTTGGACCTCCTGTACTGCAGATTGCAAGATGAAAACAGGAACAAAGAAAAGAACACGAAAGTGTTCGTACGAGAATGGAAACAAAGCACCAGATGATTCCTGTGGCAGATTGCAGATGGTGCATGTCGTAGATTGTATATATGAGAATGCTGATAAATGCAATGAAGACAGAGGTTTGAGTGGGAAAGCGGTAATTGCGAAAACAACTTCTAAGTCTCCAATCACAGTACGAACCATAAATGATTCTGAGAATGGAAGTAATCAAAAATTCCTAGGAATTAATTCATTCGGTAATACAACCGGTATGGAAGTTATGACGACAGCAAATCCTGCAAAAGAAAATGGTGGAAAATGGCAATGGCAGGTTCTTGTAATTGTGCTTGCAACAACAGCCTGTCTTATTATATTCGCCATTTTCATATATATCTTTTGTGGAAAGCGAAATAAAGCAAAAGAAAAGAAGAAACGAACTATTGGTGAAATATCAATAGTTGGTTTGCAATCACACACTGGATTTATGGATGGTATGGAATCTTATGGATTTGCCAAAAGCATGATGCCGAAAGATGACTTACTAGCGGCACTAAATCCAAATGCAGAAAGTTCCGAACTTGTTGGGAATGTTGGAACATATCAAAGCACTACTACACCAGCAAGGGAACTTCCGAATGTGCCACTGACAGAAACTGAAGCCCTAGTTAATCAGAATTCACACAATAAGAATCACATCTATGAAGAGATGAAATATACTGGCAAAGATAACACAAACGACTTGGCAGTAGTAAAATGTACAAGTCCTGTTAAACCAATACGAAGAGCTTTATCTTATCATGAAAGCAGTTGTAAAAATTCGTTAATTATTCCAGAGAATGAAATCCCTCAAATGAGGAGACAGAGTTGTTTTTCAGGCCAAAAAAGCTCGATACCCAGAAGAGCCCCACCAAAGAAACCGCCAAGAAAATCATCAATATTCTTGGGAGAAGTGGTTGAAAACAATAACAACAGTGAAATGAAAGAGGTTCCCAAATCACTTTATGAAGCTTCAAAAAATATGTTATCTCCAGATCTTCAGTTTATAAATTTGATTCACCCACCGAATTTCAGTCCAACCACAGATGACGGAAATTATAACTCACTTAAAATACCAAACTCACTGCAACAACAACAAAAAATGATGTCAAGGTCTGCACCAGTATCCCCCAATCATTCATACTTAGGTACACATGCACAACAAACACCATATATGCAGTACATGCCTATGGTTATGCCATACAATCCTATGCCAATGATGGCGTCATGTCAAAACCAGAACGGTGGCATCATTTATATGCCTGTGTCACCCATGTATACACAAGTTACAACTCCTCATATGATGCCATCTCCCCATCCACAGAGCACTCCATTGCATGGGGCTGACACTGTTTTTAAAAATATCAAAGCGCAACAGGCCCCAAAACCTCGACCAAGAACTATGTATTTGCCCCGGATCTCCATTTCAACGACGGAGACATGTAAACACAAATTATCGCCACAGACGACAATCAGAAGTCCAATATTAGAAGACTATGCGGAAATGAGGCGTTTGTCAAGTAGTATGTTAACAGATGATGATAATGCAAGGCCATTGTTAAAAACACAATTAGTTCATGAACTGCATGGCACACATAGGCGTACTCCATCTAATAATTCAGTAGAATCAGATGCATCAAGTTCCAGCAACATACTTCAAGATGATGAAGGATATTTGGCACCTACTCTCATACAAAACTGCTGAAAACGAGTTTATCACGATGATGACAATATTGCATACATAAGTTTTTGTTATACAATAATACAACTGACTGTTTTTTAAACTCCATACAATCCACTACAAATTTTAATATAAAACAAAACATTGAAATAGTTGGAAATTAATTAACAAAATTAATATTGAAATTAACATTACCAAACCATTTCAATATTTTTCGTTTTATATCAAAATGCCAAATATTCAGGCATTCTGAACAGTAGAATTGAATTATTTTGTTTAAACTGCATGATACTAATTTTTTTTTATTTGAAAACTGACCTGTTCAAATGTATTACAATACAATATTAACTGCTTTACTCAATTATTACATTATTTTTTGCATTTTTTCAACTTTTTTTATTTTGAATAACATTCTTATTATATGAAAAGAAAATTACTATAAAAAGTCTCTGCTATTGATTATAACCTACATAACCTATAAGAAGTTCCCATTATACTTGCAGAAATACATTTTCTGAAAAAGGCTGAATTACAATATTACACAGGGTGACAAAAAAAAAAAAACATAACTATGTTCATTACTCCCATGTAAATTAACAGTTACAACAATGTTGTAAACTGCTTGTCTGAGGAAGTCTGATTTAGTTGAGGTCAGACGAAACCTTACAGAAATAAATTTGTGTTAGTGTGCAGCAGGACTCTTGAACTGCATAGTATAGTATTTTTATTCCTGCTACAGCATCCTTGCATTATACGCATACAAATTCATTATCGCAAATGCATTGAGAAAGAATTGGGAGTTAGTCTCGCACAACCTCTACTGACAATAACTTTATTGATATTGATTTTACCTGAGATACACTATTCAAGTCAAAGTCCATCCCGACAGGATCCTGATGTGTGATTGTGTGTTCACTGAATTCAAGATCTTCTGGGTTGAATCCACCATTATCAGTACCCTCATTTTCTTCCCTGGTAAAAAGAAATTAAAAAAATGTCAGAATAGCTTGAGTCTCTGGCCCAGAAAAGAAGACAATAATAAAGTGTGAGTGAAGGAGTGTTTGCTTAAATCCTACTTTCCAGAGGGCAGTTACAGAAGTTGAAGGAAAGGAAAATTTATATTCACATACCCTGCATCTCTACGCTTTCCCCGGCCCAAAATATGTCGATTGGCAAATGCTTTGGCAATGATCCTGCTTCTGCGACGAATTCTCTTCATTTCATTATCACTACGTCCAATTAACCTTGAAAGTGAAGAAAATTATTTTATGGAACAGTAAATGAATATAATTCACTGCTTTGAGTAAGCGTACATTTTGGCAAACTTCCAAGGTTTTAGACAACCTGTCACTGGAATCGAGATGACTGTTGACAAAGTTCATTTTACAAAGTTTTGACTTGTCTGATTTGGACCGAATAAATTTTCAAAATTTATGCCGTGATTAGACTTTTGTCAGACTTGAACACTAACTTGACTGAATAACTTTTAAATAAATAGATTATTGAATGTTTCAATCAGCTTGCTTATCCACACACATGTAATCATTGAGCCTCTACTTATTATTACTTAGTAGGTATTACATGATTAAATGAGGGTGCTGGTTTAACATTGCGTTTTAACAGGCTCACATAAGCAGGAAATGTGTATCTACTTTAATAGCAAATGGAGTTATCATAATAAATAATTTCTGATCTGAAAGTTTGAGGCAATCAAGTCACTTATTGCAGATATTCCCATTAATTTGTTTAAAATATAAGTTTCAGATTCAGTTGAGATAGCTAATTACTAAAATGATGAAAACTTCTCACTTGAACCAGGCTCTTCTCCAATTCATGAAAGATGCTTTCGTCCAAACCCAAGTACTCATTACTATTCCAGTTCCGAACATTGCAAATAAGTGAAGCTAAATAAAAACAATTACACAAAATTAAAACAATATAATATGAGAAAGACGAATTTCCAATTCACCAACTAAAAACTATTCGTGGTCTCAAATTCTTTATTATTCCAACTCTTTTGGTGTTCTGTTAAAATATCCCATTAGTATGTTATGATGACAGGTATCATTACAATGAATTATCATTAGAAAAATCAAAAAAAAAAATTTATTTATTCTATGAAAATTCCATTGCTTTTAAGATAACATCCTTCTTTCATAAAATCAAAAGACAAACCTTCATGACTGCAATATTGGGACGGTTTTTAATTTTGCATCCCCCTGCTTCAGGTGCAGCAGGATCATCAATTTCCACTCTCAGTTTTTCCAAAATTGTAATATTTGCATCACATCTAATGAAATCACGAAAGCTTCTATCCCACAGAGGTTGGTTGACGATTTCGTAGACATGTGATGCAAAAGTCACAAACACAAAAATAAATGCAACCAATGCAAAGAGACCTGAAAAAAAGAAAAAAATTTCAGTGAAATACAAGAACTATAATCACATGACAAACCTCCAATCTGTTCATCTGCCCAGGTTACGGTCATAGATCAAGCGTTTTAAATTAATGGCATGGGTGATGTCATTAGTTAATTGGCTCAAGCAGGCCATCCCTGTATTATTTAAACTCGTGATTCACGGATGTGTGGCCGCAAGCATGTTCTTAACGCTTATAATGATCAGTTAACAACCATCACGACTCCCAAATCCAAGTTAATCATTTCAATGACTGGGTCTAACTCAATATCATATGTTGAGAATATTCAAAAAAAAAGCAACGATCTCAACCTCAAATTACTGAAAAAACCAAGTGGAAGTTGAATATTCCAAATATTGAGTGAAAATTTAGATATGACCTACTAAGATTAGGTGTTATTAAATTGAAAATCCAGAGATTTTCCATATAAATGGAATTAGGGCGCTTTACTTAGGCGACTCCATAATGTAATGTTACTGTTCAGTAACCAACTCTTTACATTTTTTACCTATTCTAATCATTGTCCATGTTATCTTGGAAATAGCACTTTCACTCAGAAGACCATCATGTCCTGTCTTTAGGCTGAGTAAGCAACCGAGTCCACCAAATAAATAAAAGCCACCAGCAAATAACATCAGTCCAATAGGTATCAGAAGAAATCCCATGCGATACCTGAAAACAAGCAATGTTGATGAACTTGAGTATAGTTAACCACTAATGATGCAATGAATTGACTCTTTTCCCAGCTTTCAAATTAAGAAAAATTCAAAATAGGTGGCTCGTGATTATTAACAACAACTAACGTTCTGAGTATACAGGATGATCCAAAAAAAACATTGAATTACTTCTATAAAAAAGAAATATGAATTTAACTCTTGAACTTTTGTTTTTTACAATAAAAGGTTACGTTTGTTCTACCTTGAATGTGTTCAAATTGTGATTGTTTTATTTTGTAGAATATTTTTAAAAGACAAAAACAAACTTTAGTTCGCCGAATATGGAAAATCATAACATATTTCTCATTGAATTAGAATTAAACAACTCAATTATAAATTTAATTACCAATGATTGTTGTATCCAATAAAACAAATTCCACTCATAGAATCACCATCAATTTGCGATACTGACAAGGACGCAATTAACAGAGCAAAAGCTATCGACCATGCAAACAAGTGGAAATGAAGAGTCTAAAAATTAAACGAAAAACAAAATTATATCATGCGAAAAATATGGAAAAATTATCGGAAATTATCAAATAGAAATCGATGTAGGCTATATATTCAATTATTCAAGTTGTTAACTAATACCAACCTTTCCTTTAAGAGGTTCACTAGATTTTCCTAGAGCCTGAAACATGGCTTTCCATGAATATGACAACACAACAAACCATGCAACGCCAGCCATAACAAAAAAATAAACGAACGTAAATATGATCACACAAGAAGGAGACTCATCGTGCCCACTAAAATAAAATAAAAACATTTCATAATAAAAATATAAATGAAATCACATTCAACACAGAATAGAGTTAACAGCAACAATTAAAACAAAACATTCAATATTCACAAAAAGTAACATTGAAAAAATGAAATAAGACAGAAGAGTTTGAAAGCATCATAGCTCAAAACTGGACAATGAAATAACATTTATATTCAAATATTTGATTAAGTAGAAAAACAAGTATGAAAAAAGTCACTCACATATACCAGAAATGAAAATTCTCTACTATCAGATTAAAAAAAAATTCAAACATCCAACATACCGGTAACAATTTCTTTTATTTTATATTTGCCTTTTTTATCATGAATATACTTTCATGTGAAATAATCTTACACAGGTTCTCCAAGTCTGACAGTTCCATCTTTTCTGCAAACAATTTCATTCCTTGAATCTTGAAAAAATTGAGCCAACCATCCAAATGTACAGAGGAAAAAACAAACATTTATGTAGAAAATAATTCGAGCTGGATATCTGCTGGAATTTTTCCAATCGATAAAGAAGGAAAGCTGAAAGAACAACATGAAAAATGTGTTTGTAAGATGAATATGAATAAATTGGAGTGAGGAACGTACAATCTGGTTAATTAGATTAGAAATGATAATATTGATTGCAGACATATAATTGTAGAGTGACCAAAAAACAAAACACAGGTCATGTTCGATAGAAAACATAACTTTTGTGCAAAGCGTCATAGAAAACATAACTTTTGTGCAAAGCGTCTCAGATTACCGAAACTTTTGTGTGCAATTGTGTGAAATAAAGTTTTTTCATATTCGTAGAAGCAATTAGGAAATTAATCTGTTCTCTTTGTCTGGGTCACCCTGTATGATCTAGTATCATTGGCCACCATTATTGGATGTGAATTCAAAGCTAAGATAGTCAGTTTTCAGTCAAACTGTAATAGTTGGTGCAAATAATTTACTTTGTCTATATTGTGCTAATTTTGACAATTGAATTCCCTTCTATTTTCAAGTCAATTCGTATTAGGATTATATTTAATGAAAATATAACCCTAAAACCAAATCCATTCATATTCAAAATATGACTGAACTATTGTTATTATAAAATCAACTTGAAAATTCATTCAAATATCATACTATTATATAAGTTGAAGTATAAAAATGATTTATCCACATTTACAACTCAGTATAATTATGAGATAAAACTGTTTATCACTGTTTCCAGCAGAGAAATTCAAATCAGTTTAAAAAGGGAAAAGGTAATTTGTTACGAACCATAACCTCCAAACAAAAGCGATGGACCTTAACGGACTAACAGCCTGATAAAATATCTGGTCATGCCAAGATGATTTTCAATGGAATAATGAATTCTTGGAATATGGAGCATATTATGTGCATTGCGGTCCATGAATTCCTTAAAAGCATTATTTTCTTTATTAAATACAGATTGGATTTTGTAAATCATTTCATGATTCCTATATATAATATTACATTTAGATAAGTATTAAATTTTTGATTTATATTATCATATTTGTCTATAAATTTCCATTTTATCACTCTCTTGGAATAAAGAAAAAGCAAAATTCAGTATTTGTTACACGAAAGCCAAATTAGAATAGTTGACAAAACTAATAAATGTTATGCTTGGATAACCATGAGTCATTGATGAAACATCACTAAACTGTGATTATGGGGTGTGTGACCGATTCTCAAACAATTATTTGTAAAATAGAACATATTATTAAGAGTTGAAAATAATTTATTCATAATCTACTATGAGAGTTGACAAAATAAAAATAGCCCGAGGCAAATAGAATAACTGAAGTGGATAATTTACAGTTCAGCCAGACTTGATAAAAAAAACAAAGCCTATGAGCTTCAAAACAGCAATGAACTTGCAATGGAATTATTAGGCTAGCATGATACAATTTGTTAAACAAAATTAACAATGCAATCTGAGGTAAATAAATTTAAAATTTAAATTTTGGCATCTGAATGATCTCACAGCTTATTCTAAAACATTGATCTAAACAAAATGTATTTCCAATAATATAATGTGAGAAATACATAATAATGTTAAATTTTACCTTAAAATATTTAGTAAAAATTATCAAAAATATTCCCTGTGAATGTCAATAAAGGATTAAAGTGAAAATATTAAAAAAGTTTAATTTCAGAATTTATTCAAAAATAAGATTTTTCTCACCATTGCAAATAATGTGCAAACAGCTGTAATAGAGGCCCATACTGCAATAAAAACATGCATGTCGTCATGTTCTGCTTGATCGAAGAGTGGGTTCATGCATTGCAGTCCACATCCCTCCACTCCTTCATACCACGATGAAGGATTAGACGTTTCCATGAGAGGTTTTTCACATTCAGATTCATTGAATTTGGTTTCAATGGCAGTCTTGGAGAAAATAGAATTGATTTAAACATCAAGCATTATAAAATTTTCAACAGCAATTTTAACACACTAAAACAGAACCCAGATCACTTTGAAGACATTCAAGTGCAAAATAAATTTTTGCTATCGATCGTGCTTCTGCAGAACTAACAACTTATCTTTATTCTATACTGCTGTGCACAGCTGCGATACGCTGCAGTAAAAGTGAAGATGACTAGTTTAAGTGAGTCTTGCAATACACTAACAAGCATATATTTGCTGCGATCGCCTTTCTTGTTGTGGTTGAATGATATATGAGAAAGTCTGACAATATGTTACAGATATAAATTTGTGTCAGTGTGCCTCAATACTCTTGTCTTGAATCATTTCAATTGAATGTTCCTCATTTTCAAAAAAAACTACAATTTTCTTAATTAGATTTTGATTATATAAATTAGTTCAAGAAGTATATATAGAAATTATTAATAACTCACAGGGCAGTTGTCGGCAAAAACATTGTCATTATCACACATCATAAAATCTGGCCACCCGTTCTCAATCTCAACAATTTTACATGGTGATCTTGTTTGCTGACACAGAGACCTGTCAAAAGAAAGAATTCAAATTGGGCCGACAAAATTCCAACTGTCATGGAATAGAATGACATTATGTTATTGTTATTTAAAATAACAAAAGCTATAAAAGTGTGAAAATTCCCATTTGTAATATATAACTCCTAATATTGAAACAGCTTTTGTGCGATTATTCATTCCTTGCTAAATTTGTCTATCAAT